GGTATAATATATATAATAATATTATATATATATATATATATATATATGTATTACACCGGCTTATAAACAAGCATAGTGCTAATGCCACAACAATAACATGTGGCAGGTGGGTTGAAATACAGAGCAAAGTGGGGAGAAAGTGGAACAGTTAAAAATAGAAAAAAAGTAGGCAACTGGGATAATGCGACTTTTTTGTTTCACCGTATACCTTTTGATAAAAATACCAAAAGTTGTACGGTGACACACTCTTTTTTTACGAGGCACGAGATTTCGACAGACAGACCGTACAGCATTCGTGCCACCGACTTCTATTCGGGGCCATATTTCTCAGCGTCTCTAACCAACGACAATCCTCATCTCTTGGGCCCCAATCTGGGAGGCGGGCTGCACCAACCGCAGCCAGCTTCTTCATACCTCTACGCCATGCCATGGTTTGACCGCCGCTTCTTCCAGCGTTGCCCGGCACGTGCAAAGAGAGCAGAGAACCAGTAGTTAAAATTACCGATGATTAGCGTGGATCTCTTTATAGGTGGGACCTAGCTCATTATTGATTGGTTAAGCTAACCACTAGGCTATCCTCAGAACATCTCACTTCTATCTACGCTGCAGTCAATGCATAGATGTCCAAGCACGCGCGCGAATCGGAGAGAAACAGTGTGTGTATGAGCCTGTGCAACAGAGTTGGGTTCACGCGACGCAGAACTCTACGCTAATGGTCTGTAATTTTTAACTACTGGTTTTCTGTAGCAGTAAGACTGACATTTCGGTGTACGAGAAGTCTTGATGCACCTGTATATAGACGCGTTTCCCTGAGACGAAACGAAACTGGATTTGGACAATCTTTCGTCAGGTTCCACCAGTATCGGCGATTTGGGCGGTGATCAGAGACTCGTCATTCCATCCATCTACCTCAAAAATATAGACTTGAAATACCAACCAAGGCAGAAGACATCGATTTATGCTACACGCGATCGGCTGTGACTCTTTCATTTTCTCGTCAATCGCGCTTCAGAAAGCACGTTTTTGTTTTCCCCACTAACCGAACGACACCAAATCGTATCTCGGTAGTTATTGCACTAGATAATCCGACAAAAATCAGCGCAGCCCCTCCCCCGGGAGTTAGTGAAACAGGCATATATCTCCAGCCTAGCGCGATGGACATAGTGGTCTGACGTGCATCACATACCAGTAGAACCAATGGTCGACAACCGTAAATGTATTACATTTACACACATAAGAATCGAACATTGAGCATCACATTAGAACCCTGTGTAGAAAAGTACACAACCCCGTGTGGCTTGCTTCGGGAACTTTCATGGCGGAATGTGTATGTTCTGTATGAATGTGCGACCTGCATGCAACACTGGTGCCAGAATAAGAAAAATGTGGATAAACACGTCTAGATGATAATCCCGTGTTTATTGAACAGTGTCGGATTGATTAATCACACAAGGAGTGACTGAGGCAGGAAAACGAGGACGGCAAAATGCAAACCGCGTTGAATTGGATAGAAGAGCGATAGAGCAAATGTAGATCGTCGTCTTCCTTCGCACGAGAGCATAATACTAAACCTGAGCACAAACCACGCGAATTCAATCAGGAAGTTCCAAATGTGTTAGACGTATCGATAACATGGAAAGTGGAAACAGAGTAATTCTATACCTTGCTCGTCAGAATGTTCTCACCCCATTCAGGGGAAAATTCTTGCACTACTTTTTTTCTCTCATTTACTAAAGTGCAGAATTTCTTATATTGTCTTTTTTGTTCGTAAATGGTTTTATCTATCCACTGTAAAATCGTAAATTGATGACAATTCACCCTTTGGATGCATAAAGCGTTTCATGACTTGACTTGGAAGATTGAAGCGAACAGTAAAAAATGGTCGCAGCAAGCAGTATGGTCCACTTGTGCCCGGTAATAGGACATTTTTGAAGATGTTCGATAGAATGAAGGACATGTTTCGAAAATAGAGAATAAACAAAAAACTTAAAAGCATACCTGAGTTATGCAACTGGCAGCAAAATCTACGCCCCACTAACCAATCAATAAGAGAAAATAATAAAAACCGATTTTTACTATGAAAGCGTTTATTCGAGGGAACGATATATATATATTGCGTAAGAGCTGGGAACTGTATATATATTCTAAAATAGTCATGTGTTTCCAACAGAAACTATGACGATAGTTTGCCGGTTGATTGTATTTATTTGCATCCAGCAGCCGTACATAAAAAGCATTGACAGCATGGAGTCACAGAGTCGACAGGAACAAGCTCAAAGCTGAACAACTGACATGTTGTAATGACTCTCGCAGAGCCCAACTGGCATATCACCTGACTAACAGAAAATAACTCCGTTAACTAAATTGAGTCCTTTAAAAATATTATGCAGAACCGCCGACTTGTTTAGAGCTATACGGCAGAAACAAGTGAGAAATTTGTCTGTGGTTTCTAAGACACTGAATTATTCAGTCTGCAGCTGAGACCTCAGTTACTCCAAGTTGGAAGTAAGATAATCAGCTTCATTGTTAACTGGGATGCAAGGGGTAAGAGCGAAGGCTACACTAAAAGAAATAAAAGCACAAAATTATTTCTCACTACTATATAAATATATCATCCAAGGTATAAACCAGACTGCGATTGAACTACCGAAGATCGTCACATTCAAAAAGCTACAGTGGATTTTGATTTTGCCACTGACAGACAACTCAGCAGGCTTGGTTCCAAAAGCATGCTCTCTCGTTTCAGTGTTCGACGAAAAGTTGACACTGCATGCCGATTAAATTTTCCTAAACAAATCGGCTATCCTAAACGATTTCCCATTGCCAAATTACAGCTGAGTGAATGCCAACACTCTCTGCCTAGTCGCTCCAGAACCCTGATGGAGATTTAGGAAGCTGATCGCTGTTTGATAAGATTCTTTACTTGCGAATCCTGTAACGTATGAACGACATGACATATGGTATGAGGATAGGATGGGGAAATATGAAGTAGATCAATTCGATATTTACTTATTCGAAGTAGTGCTCTACATGTGCGGTCTGTTTGATGTAGCTCTTACAGGATACCCAGTGTTGTGTGCGACGACCATATTTCATTTAGCTTGCTGATATAGGCAATCAGTGCCATGGACATGAGTGAACATGTCTGTGACCAACCTACCGAGATTACGAGTCCACGAAAGACAAACGTTCTATTTTGTACTGTGCTTAGTCAGTGTGTGTATGTATGGCCAACCAGGTCGAAAATCAAGTTCTTTTTACTGGAACCGGCAGCTTAGTCTCACAAAAGAGCCGCGGGGGCGAATGTTTCTATAATCACGGACATCTAGATGTGATCGTGTGGGCTGTACTTTAGCGTGGCCCATTATGTGCTGGCGCGTATGTCCTTCCAATGTAATCGAGCCACATGTGCAGACACACACAGTGAACGGTACCAATAATACCATGCCAAACGCGAACGGACCTGTCCAATTTGAAGTGCATTTATGCGTACATACATGTATGCGATCATACAATGCATGCACATCAGAGATAATTTAGAGCAATACCGTCAGAACGTGCGAATCGCGAAAACCAGTTCACCATGTCTTAATTTGTGATCTGCTTCTGTTGCGGAACAGGTATCCAGGAAAACACGGAGAAATGTGGGTCGGGTATAGCGCGGATGAAAACCATACATTGGCAAACAACAGTTGCATGAGAAGTAATCCCCCAAAATATGTGATCAGCGGAATAGCCTACCTACAGTTTGGTATATAAAAGTATGAATAGTATCATTCGAGTCTGAAGATGTCGGTATCTGACTTTAAAATATATGCGAAATTTGTTACAAACTCGGTGTTAGTTATAGTAAGAAAGAAAATGTGTTTATGACACGTGGATCAAGACAACTGTGATAATCAAACCTCGCTAACATCACGCCTGTCACCAATTTTCGAAGTACGTATTTATTTTCCGTGACCATAAACTAATCAACCTCCCTAATGTTGCACCTATAGTAATAAGTTCCAGCTCTCTGAAATCGCCAGCCTATGGCTCACAACACGCGTAAATAAGTTTCTGAATTTCCAGCACACATCCTTCAAAGTGTGACCAGAGTAACCGAACGATCAACGGTTAGAAATGATCCAAGTAAAGTGCAATAGAAATGGCTTATTGACCACCACGATCAAGAACAGAGCGAATCCTGATTGATAGCTGAGTTCACGATTGAGTCAATTTCTCTGCAGCATTATAAATTCTCTTTTTGATCCTAATTTCAACCTTTCCTGTCTTTCTCCTAATATTCATCCAAACGGGCAGCCAAAACCGGCGCACGATAGTGTATCGTTGTACAAACTGAAACTGATCGATTGGTGCACAGCGTGCTGGATTCCTGTGATGTTGATAAACCTTCTAGATGGCTATCTAGGCTCACACATACTGAACACACGAACCGACTCTTATTCACATTCTTATAATCTCTGTTCTACTTATGTGTGAGGCAGCACATTCCCAGCCGTGCACGATATGAGAAGTTAACTCTCACGTTGAACCTCGCTCTACTGAACGAAATGGAGGGGTTCGGGCCGGAGTCTTCTGGTAGAAGTGATATATATATATATATATATATATATATATACATATATATGAAGTCGGGAAACCAGGTACGTCGCTTAACATTAGAAGCAAAAGAGTTAAGCAGCACTCTGCGGTCTGAATCAAAGTTTAGTGAATATTTTTCCTTTCATTGAACTCATATTGATGCACATTTGAGGAAGGGGGAAGCGGTCAATCAACAGATACACAGATAATCAGGCGGTGGTGATGAGATTCGAATACCCATCTTCCGACGAGACGATTTGGTAACCTTTACCACTTGGCACTGGTTTTAACAACGAACAACTATTTCATGGGATCTATCGCACGTCATCATACATATTTATACAATTATTGGAAGCTAAGTGAAATATGTGATTTAGACTAAATGCTACGACTAAATCGATCTCTCAATAAAAATCTATTGAATTGGTTTAATATCATGAAAAATTTTAGGAATGCTAGTTAAATTTAGGCAGATCGACAATAATGCGGATTCTGAAAACGGGACTGTTTATGTGAACGTGTGCCGGATATGTGAATAGCATGGGTGCCATTGTTACCACAATCGAAAAATTCTTACACAAAGCTTCCATTCAAATTCTCGCAATTTTTCAGAAGGCTGGTTGAAAGTAAAACCCGGAAATAGCAATTCACTGTGGACAACTAATTACTAGTGACATTAATCAAAAGGAGTCAACAGGACTGAATTAAGTTGTCGATGCTCGATCGAACATTCACGGTAGTATCCCGAGAAATGACAACCTGCCTTCCCTCTCATTCTGAACTTTTTGTATGCGTACCTCAGATATAATAATGGTCACCACATGAGGTGGGGGTTGTTGTTTCACCACACAAACAACAGTTTTCACGTTACAACCAAAGCAACGAGTTGTCGCCTTATGCCGGACCGCGTGAGAACAGGGACACAGCAAAGGTGAGTGAGAGGGCTTTTCGGGTCAATCGACTCGATGTCAGAAGATATTCACAAGCAAGAACGGGTACCACCACCACCCGTTCCACGAAGGGCGGTGGATTGACCTGAGCAACTACATTTGAATAATTGTGGCAACACCGAATGGCAGTGCTGCCTATCACACACACAGAGTAACTCGACTTTCCTTTCATCCTCGTCAGGTCAGCTGACAAATCTACCTCCATACATGGAAACGTTTCACGAGAATAGAACACCGGTTGCATGTGATCAATAAAGTTTCCAGAAAAAAGACCACGGTAGAACAACAAATATGACACTACTCGTTTAAGTCGAGCGTCTATTTTTCAATTGGATAATACTGCGTGATCCATGCTTATGCAACTCACTCGTTTAGTATTTGATCTCCAATCAGAACCACATATAGTTTCGTATTTCCAAAATCGGATCGCGATTCGATCGGATTCGGGGCTAATTAATGATGAGTTTCCGACGGAATCGCGAGGATACAAGAACTGAAAAGTACAGTTTGTGCCGTAGTAGTTTATGCAAACCTCTGCATTGTGCTTCGACCAAAACGTTCACTAATATAGCGACAAGAAGAATGTGAAAGATATGCTCTGTCATAAGTACACTACTTATTACTATTGAGAATCGTCTTTGCGCATCAGAATGCGAATCAAACAAGGCTTAATTTTATTTAGATGGACATTTAAACTGGGTGGCGAACTGAGATTTCATGGTACCGTGCGAATGGGACGTAGGCAGATCATGATTGACGGGTCGGTAGAGGTGGTAAAGAATCCCAGGATCAAATGTGACCAAAAATAGATTGCTCGACGATCAAACACACTACCTCGATCACAATGTTTTTATGTGAATAAGCGAAAACCAAGGATGGTTGTAATCATTGGAACCGCGGCGGGGAGTAATGAGATCAAGTCTTTTTGCTTCTGAATTCCACCTGCGCACAAACGAAGCGACAATACATATAACCGTGTTTCACACTTGAATCTCCCCGGAAAGAGGAGAACCCATTGTGATATATATATATATATATATCACATAAATTAAGCGTTATCCATCGAATGAGAGTCAACAAAGATGCCCGTGGATAAAACCGTAGTGTTAGGAAAGTGAAAAACCACACAAATACTTTTCGAAAATCTAGGGAAACACTAGATATGAGTTGAGTTCGCGCTGAGAACTGGCAACAGTGTGTATTCACAGCAATGTTGATGAGAACCTCACCATTAAGTAAACAAATTAAAAATAAGAACTGAACTTTCCAAACTAATTTCAACATTTGTGTCAATTTTAAAAGCATCTACCACAGATTCGTCTTAACGGAATAAAAAAAGATATCGTCCTTGCTGCGCATTTTGCTGGTAACCATCAGACCAGGCTTACTAACCGAATTCTATGCATCCTATGAAGTGAAAGACTGAAAACCTATCCGAACCTTTCTGAGTGAGTCGTGAACATGGAGGCTAGTGATGCGATGAGTGAGACTAGGTGATCACAACAATAATTCGTGTTGCATAACGTATGGACAAACTGAAGCAATCTAATTACTTATCTGATGACCAAGGGAGAAGTACATTTTACTTGTTGGGTTACGGGCTGATCCTCGGTGGGTCGACGAATGGATGGAAGGATGGAAGTGAACAAGTGCAAAACAGCTAGCCGTGCAGAACATGGTTCCCTCGCTCTGTATACAAAGTGCGTCATGAAAACCATTTGACTGTTTATTCTTCTCTCAATAAAATTGAAACCGGTAAATCAAAATTGGATGTTGTGAAAAAATCCGTACACAATTTGTGTGAATGCGTTTCTGGTCAATTTTTCGTCACTAAATAAAGTGATTTACAAAATAAGTCATCTGAAAGCAACAGTAAGACTATGATGAGTTGTCACTTACAATTTTAAATCGAATAAATAAGAAAACGAACAAAGAGTTCTTGAATTTTTCGAAATATGGAATTACGGGAGTCAATCACGGTGCCCTCGCATCGTTAACTGACTCGAAAGACAGCAAAACGTAAAACGGATATGTTGAGTCAAGAATGGTAGGAAGCCAATTGGAGACTTACTATGCAAATCTTGTTTCAGTTCAGCTTCCTGAGACTGAGCGTATCGTGTTCGGGACTCGTAGCGACTGATCGGACTGGGCTGATTTCGCTCTGCTTCCAGGTCGGACTCCAATTTTTCCACTCGGCTAGTCAGTTCTTTGCGAATATCGAACAAACGAACAATTTGAGCTTCTGTGGGTGATAAAACGATGACACGAGAAATGTTGTTAGAAAACGCGAAATCGATGTAAATCCAATAAGCAACAATATGAATAGACTACAAAACATGACCAGCTATCTGGGATACAGCAAATACCCAGAGAGGGTTTCAAGCGCTTCACAAATATGACGAGAATGATGAAGTTATTGAACAAGACAGGAAAACAAATTATTCGTGTCTATCGGCACCCGGGCTTTTTCGCGGACAGCGGTGTTCATCGGGGTTGCCTCGTTTCTCCTTTGCTATTTGACTTCGTAATGAACACGACTTTGGAAAAAGCCCTGGAGGCTCATGAAAGTATAGAAGCATCGATATGCGCCCAGGTGATCAGCTGTCTAATTTGGAGTACGCGGATAACACTCGAGTGCTAAGTAAAGACCCAGCCAGGTAAGTTGGAAGCTTTTGTGGATGGTCAGAATGTAACTGTATGGAGAAGAACCAGAGGAAAAAGTACAGAAAATGAAAACAAAAATAATACCGATAGAGAAGATACATTGAAGCGGCTTCCTGGCGATGGGAAAGCGACTGCACATTAGAGGTCAATAGGAGATCGTTGATCAGCTGGATGACTCAATCAAGAAGGGTAAGCGCAGAATAAGGAGCTCTACCCCCACCCCATCTGTCATGGAAGAATCAACTGGCTATTTTCAAAATAATTGAGAAGAGTCTATAAATTTCGTCATGCATCAGCGTTAAAAGCCTATTCTGACTTAATCGCGGATAAGAAATTCTGGATGCAATGCTCGCTGTCCAGATTCTACCGGCAAAGAACATCAGCTTTCTATGGCAAGGTAATCACCTTCTCTGTGTGCAGAACAGAAACACTCGAATGCTCCAGTGGACGTCCAAAGCCTTCATCCACCCAACAAATGACAACCTTCGCAGTTCTAAAGTTGACCCACAACGCCATCCCGAGTCGCTTGCGGTCAATCTCCTGTGACCCCCTTCAGTTTGCATATAAACACAACAAATCTACATGGGACACTATGTTCCCCCTAATCCATTTTATCAGTGAATCATTCTTTTTCATTTTTACTTCCTTTTATTGAATAAACAAGGATACAATTTTCAGGAAGAGGGAAGCGGCCAATCAAACGGCTGCCATCCAATATACAAGGAGAAGGTCAGGCGGTGGTGGCGGGATTAGAGCACACATCCCCGGGGTGATAACTCGGTGACGTTACCACCATCGAACAATTCAGCCAAGTCTGCCCGTCGCGTTTATCTTTACTATTAGTTTGTGTTTGGTTCCGTTTCTCGATCATCCGTCCTTTTCAAGCGTAAGTCTTCTGGCACTACCAGAAAGCTGCTCGCATGACTTTCTAACTATTTTACAGAAAGGGTTCAATGCACTCACTCGCCCAGGAACGTCTGGTTAATAATTTTAATGTGCGTCAATGTGCCGTTCTATCTTTGTATCTGTTTTCTGTTTTGATTATTGATATTTCGGTTACCGGCAAGCAAAATTTGCAATTCGTGCTGTGATCTCCTCCAGCTGCGATCAAGCTTTCAAAGTACCTAAAGCTCTCCACAACTTCTAACTGCTCACCACAAAAGATGATTGCAGGCACCGGCAGACGCCAGTCTCGAACAAGCAATTTACATTTGGATGATACAAAGCGCATAGCATACCTGGATACCTCGTACGCAAAGCGGGTTAAAGCGTGTTGGATGAAGGGCACGATTTCACTAATTAACGTCAAAATCAAAGAAACAAACACGTTCTTATTTGGAATTCAACTAGAGAAAGACACGGGATCGAGCACGTTTGGTAATTCTAACCAGTCCATGAGGGGGGAGGGTTATTAAACACTACCTGATAATGGACACCCGAAGATTCCTGAATCAATCAGCTGATAGAAAGCGTTTCGCACACGATTGTGTAACGGACAGGCAAACCCAGTCGAGAGAATCGCGGGCATATTGCAGTAGTGCATGCATACAAGTATCTACTAATTCATAACGATCGCGACTGCTGAGATAGGGTAACCGATAGAAAACCAATTGTGCATTGAACCGAGTGCCATACAATTTGGAGTATCGCGGATGAGCCTTCAGTGAAACGATAATAATGCAGGAAAAAGGTTTCACACAGAAAATTAGGTCATAATCATCATCGGACAGCAAGATGTATTAAAGCAAACTCCGCTGATCGCTTCCAAGCTCACAATGTACACAAGTGATAAAGTACAAGATGGATAAGCGTAGGGCCTTGTTGAAGGGAGGCAAAGAAAGTAAACCTCCACGGAGAACACAGTGTGAACAACCTAACTGTGCATCCCTACCTTTTCACGTATTCTGACGTGACCAGAAATGAAAACGAGAAAGCCACTACTTCCGGTTCGCTGTCAGATCCTTTAGTGGCTCTAAACAACACGTTGCAGACGTTTGGACCCCAAGCGGGAAGAAAGCAGTTACTCTATCTAATCACCCTGTGCATTTTTCAGGCGCCGTATCCATGTCATTTATCGACCTCTATGTGGTTTCCTCCAACATGGAGCCGCACCCGTGAATAAGGCGCGATAAGGTAGACAACAATTGGACATGCACAATACGTATCTTAACCAGCGAACCCTAGTGATCTGAATTCTGTGATAACGAATCGTTACCGAATACGGCGTACCTCAGAGTTGCTTATACGCTCACTCCAAATAACGTAAACATAGACAGAAGATGAATATTTTCCACGCGTACATTAAGGGTCTCGCAACCGTAAGGCAAAACTGATTGCAAACTGGCGTAGTAAACGCAACCTTTCAGTTTCACGAAAACATCACANAGAAACCAAATGTGTTTCAGTCCTGCGTACGCTGCTCGAACCTTGGAAATGCGAGCGGTTACTTCAGTGACTATGCTACCATCATTTTTCACGCAGCTACTTAAATGGGAGAAATATGCCACTAAGGCTAATTCTTGACCATCAAGAATCAGTGCCGGTGTAGAAGACACCCAATCGTATAGGAGCACTTTGAAGATGCACGTGCATTACAAGCAGAGTTACAAAACTTGAAAGGCTGTCAAGAGCGCTTGGCGAATCCTTCACTCATTTAACCAAAAAACGATATTACTAATGTACTCTAAAACACAGCTTTTCTCCAGCTAGTCATTCAATAGCAACGTTTGGGAGACCACTTAGTGCGTTCTCCTTATTTTCGTCAACGACAAATTTCAATAGGAATGGTGAAATAGGGCACAAGTAGGGAACACCGATGCTAGTTTCGAACAATTTACATAACCACCAGAATTACAGTTTCAGTTTAAACAACCAGTAGGCATGCATTTCGGTGCGACGTTTTTGGTTGAACCATAGGAGGAAATAAAGATGGTTGAAAATAGGATCGAAGAGAAAATTGAGAAATTTAGTGGACTAATGATGCAGAGAAATTGAGAAGATGCGCAAACGCCACCCAACCATAACACTCAGTGTCTATAACCATCGGTTACGATCATCCCGAGGTCCCCAGCCAGGGAGCCTAACAGAACCTATGAGATCCAGACTCCTGGTTAGGGTTTCCATACCCTCATGCCAGGTCATCGCTTGACCACCCTTGATTTTATTCCACCCATTACCTGCTCGCCGTGGCAACCTACGTGGTGACATGCGTAACATATGCCCCAAACAACGTAATCTATGGATGTCGACCACTTGCTCCAGTGGGCGACCGCGGATATCAGAAACTCCGCGCCTGACCTCAGCATTGCTCGTCCGTCTGCCCCACCAGATTCGTGCAATGCTGCGTAGACAGCGATGTTCAAATGCCGACAATCTATCTTTATCTTGTACTCTTAATGGCCACGTTTCTGCTCCATATATGAGAACTGTCCGAACTGCAGCAGCATACACTCGACTTTTCACAGACAGCCGGAGGTCGCGATGGTGCCACAGATATCTCAAGTTGGCAAATGCCAAACAAGCCTTTTGTATGCGAGCCGATACTTCATCCGTGATGCATACGCCAGGTGAGATATAGCTGCCCAGATAGCAAAATCTGTCTACTTCCCCAGTTAGGGTGAGAATGGGTGCTGGACCAACCCAGTCCTGTAGTAGCATTTTACACTTTGAAGGTGCAAAACGCATACTGAACATGGCTAAACTGGCACTCAAACTATCCAGAAAAGCTTGTAACTTACCTGGATCTTCACTTAGCAGCACAATGTCGTCTGCATATTCTAGATCAGACAGTCTGCAACTGGGGGTAAATCGATGCCATTATCCTCGCATGAGGATAGGGCTGTTTCCATAATGAGATCCATAACAAAGTTAAATAGAACAGCACTTCCGTGGTGGACTCGGGTGAAAACGTGCCGCAAGCTTGGACTCGGCTTTGGGATCGTAATATTGAAATAAACTTCTCGGGCACTCCCTTCAGGGAAAGGCAGCGCCAGAGTCTAGAGCGGTCGACTGAGTCGTAGTCCACAACATACATCAATTTCCAGAGTTCATTGTACGCGCAAGACACACTTGTTGACCCGCCTGCATCAGAGTCATCGCGCTGAATGCTTGCAGATTCAGAGGTTGACGGGGCTTCCGGATATGCAAATTAATTACTGGTAAACTACTTTGCTGTTTGGAAACGAGCTTTCGTGAGAGGCAAAACCTTTATCTGGTGCAATGTTACGGGTCGGAAGAAGCAGCATAGGAAGAGCGTAGGGTACGGAAGACTTAGAGTTAAAGTTCGGGACGTCTGAGCAGTGACTCACTTATCATGACCCACCCCGCTCGATGCAATGAGCAACGCAGTCCTCATTATCCTGCACGACAACCGATGCAGCATGGAATGATTTTTGGTTTGTGTTCATTGGAGCTTTATGGACGAATACTGTTACGGAGATTAACTAACCCAAAGTGTTCTCCAGCCGGAGAACGATTTCGGTTCACAACCAAAGCCTTTAGTTCTGATAAGAATTAACCGCGAGACAGTGAGTGAAGTGAAGCAGACGCCCATTTACTTAAGTCCATTCATTACTCCTCTAGCTTTTTGCCGACTGAGAGACTAACTCTAGAACCAGGAGACTGGAGTTTGTCTGACCTTTACGCTTCGGCGTTCCAGGAACGATTAGATCTTTGGCTCGATAAAAGCCATCCTGTGCAGCTCGTTGAGTCACAGAGGCGCACAAGCCATTTCACTACGGCAAGGCGCAGTTTCATCGTAATGGAGAAAATTAAGGTCGAATCTGATAGTGCGATCTGTAGCTGAACTGATATGCACAAAAAAGAATTATTTACAGCTGGAAAGAATTGAATGATACATCTACATATTTCCAATAGGTTTTTGGATAACGGTTCTGATCGATACACTCCCTGATAAATCGCACAACTGTCTCCGCTTTAGCAGGCCTGGCTTTGAAATTCAACAACTTGTTCAGATCACATATAGCCACAGGGTATCCGCAATGTTTCAAATTGTAAAATAGTCCCATAGACGATGTAGAAACGTTGTTCGTGAAGAAATTTCTTTTCGGTATATCACATCAGGCGATTGCATATATAAGGTGATCATAGTACATATATCTGATTGGCGGATTAAAGCGCAGCTAGGGAATAACGTTTTCTATATCGCCTATGGGAATATTTTACGATTTGAAACATTGCTTACATCTACATACGCCCCCCGTGTACGCTTACCAAAAATAGGCTCGAATAAAGATTGTCTATGTGTGTGTGACAAACTGTTTTATCTATGATGCAAGAACAGTGTAGCACAAAATGAGATGTTGCAGAGAACCCTCAGTACTGATTTGATCACTGTCCCCATGAGTTCGAGAGGAGAATACCAAGGAAATTAAAAAACAGAGGGCGATCAGGAACACCACCCACACAGACACGTGATGATGGCAAGCAAAACCCCAACCCAAAACGAACAAACACAGCAACTAATTTCCGTGCATGGTGAAACACGGAGTGGTAGATGGCCCAACAACAGATCAGGTGATGATTTTCAGGGACCGATTCAAGTGACACTTTGCATATCACTAAATCGCTTCAACATTAAGCATCGAACTGGTTAGATTAGATCGAGTTTTTGCTCAACAGACTGCCAAAAGGTGTGCTTGTCTTGGTGTACAATTCCAAAGCTGCACATATTTGCGCAGCCTCTGGGAGTCGACCAACCTTCGGGCGGATGCACGCGCGTGGGTTGTTCGTTCCGTGCGATGGATATCATGCAGCATGGACGCATGGGGG